CGGCGCCCCCCGGACAGAGGCGGCGGGCCGCTTCCACTACATCCCCTTCGGTGGCGGGGCACGGAGCTGCATCGGCAAGGAGCTGGCGCAGGCCATCCTCAAGCTGCTGGCCATCGAGCTGGTCAGCACAGCCCGCTGGGAGCTGGCCACCCCCGGCTACCCTGCCATGCAGACCGTGCCCATTGTGCACCCTGTTGACGACGGGCTGCAGCTCTACTTTCACCCCTTGCAGCCCAGCCACGGCAGCGAGGCCTGAGCCAGGGGTATGGTGCCCCCCTCAGCCCTGGCGTCAATGCCTCTCCATGGCTGCCGGGGGCAGGCCTCTGCTGGCCCAGGCTGGGTATGGCACTGGGTCACTGTGGAGCAAAACCCCAAAGGTTTTTTCATTTTTCCCCTCCTGGTGTGCAAGCTGGTGGGAAGGGTCCTGCAGAGTCCCACTCCTGAGCACTGGGGTGAGCCTCAGCCCCAGCCCGGGGGCAAAACCCACTGAATCTGTTGGCAGGGAGCATCCCCCATGGGGGCTCAGCCAGCCCCTGCTCCATGCAGGTCACCAGCCACCAGGGATGGCGAGCAAAACTCCCAGCCCCACAGCTAAGGCTCCCAGAGCTTTTCTGTCCCAGGGTTATCTTGTGTGGGTCTGTAATAGGAGAGGCAGGGTGAACATCCTGCACACTGTAGCTTTTTAGATGTAAAAAGAGGGAAGATGGGGAGGCTCTGCAGGAAAACACAAGCCGGGGCTGCCTAATCCATGGCATCAGCTGTAGCTAGAATAATAGGGTGTAAAGTGGTTTTTATTGTAAATATTTAATCTCATTCCTGCACTTCCCATTAGACCCGGCACAAAGAGGACATGTCTCATTCACCCAGTAGTAGTAGCTGCGTATGTTGTGCCTGAGCACCGTGCTGCTGCTCAGGGTCTGCCATGAAGCCCCCCCCTCTGGGGTCCCAGTAGGATGCACTCCCCAGCCGCAGCCTGACCGAGGGATCGGACTGAAGGAGGGGAGGAGGCTTTGGGGAATAAATATTTGGAAAATGGACATTTCTGAATATGTCTCATTTGTGGTAGAAAGTCCCCTGTTCCTGATGATGCTGTTCACATTGCAGAGGGGGCATTTGGAAGGTGACACAGGCCCCATGGTGGCTGGCTGGCCAGACTGACCGTGTCACCTCCCGCAGACTAGCTCTTCCAGGGAAAGTGCCAGGACAGCAGCTCTGTGGGTCCATCCAGAGGGTGGTACCTGGGGCTAAACCTTGGGTGCTGAGGGCACCTTTTTAGGTGGCTTTTGAGTACCGCCTGCCTCGCTGAGACACGGGGTATTTCTCTCCCATGTAAAATGAAGCGAGTCCTGTTGCTTGTGCACTGAGAACAGAGCTGGGCCCAGGTCTTTGCTCCACTGCAATGTGTTTATAAGCTCCTTTCAGCCTCACCTCTGCTCCCCACTGTCACGCGTCCTGCGTGGAAGCAGTGGGGGAAACCATCCACCTTGTCTCTCCAGTGCATCCTGGGCCTGGGGGCGTGGTGTGCTCTGTGTGAAGAACCAGCAGCAGCTTCACCTGCGAGGGCAGAAACGTGGCGCAAGGAGAGTCTTTTTGGAAAGGCTCTGGGGAGCTCCCCCGTCCCCTGAATCTCTGTCATTGTCCTACTTCAATGCCAGGCTACAGATGACCTCGCCCTGGCCAGTCCCCCTTGCACGTCTGTGCTGGGGCACTGCAGCGGGCCATGTACTGCCGTTAGCTGTCAGAGGGCTGTGCAGCGAGCACAACGCTACCTGGGGCAGAAATGTGGATCCCAAATGTGACAGGTCAAATCTGGAAGAGGTTGAACTGCGGGGCTGAGTTAAGTGCTGTTGGCAGGTCGACCCCGTAGTGAACCAGAGCCTCTGCCCCTCCTGACCTTGTCCTGAAAGGTGAATCTTTCTGGCTCTCAGAGGTGAAATCAGTAGGTGGTGGCTGCAAGTGGCAATGACTAACTTTAATTAGCAGGAGCTGCTGGCGTGGCTGTGACCCACGGGCGATGGCGGGCAGGGCTGCGGCGCACTTAAAAATTACCCTGAACGCTAACGAGCACCGTAGCCACCCGCTGAAAAATGTAACATGAATCTAGCTTAAAAAAAAAACCTTGAAACTGATTTAGTTTGCAGATAAACACGAGCATTTACAAATGAAGTGTAATAGTTGTTACTTGTAATCAAAGTTTGTTCATATTAGGCTGTTAATTTCTTGACCCCCTTCCAAGATGTTTTTAATTATCCCTTTCACTCTTTACCATTTGATTCTTTTCGCCGATGGCTAAGGAATACACAGCTGGGGAGATAATAAAGCCTTCCTGTGGCAATTATCGGTGCTCAGGCCACCGTATCTCGTTATTTTGATAGACAGTGAACTTGGCGCGGTTGCCGGCCGGGTTCACGCAGATGTCACGGTCCGTGTTGTAGGTCACAAGCAGGTCAGCGCCCGGCAAGGGGAGAGCGCCGGGTCAGGGCGCGGCCG